GAAACGAGCAAACTAATGAAACGATAATTTAATAAAGTGCGCTGGATTGGGAAACAATGTGACCACGTTTATCTAAATTTGAAATTTTCTTTCAAGTATCACCATCGGTGAGGGTCCTTTGTGGACGTGGTTATGTTCCAACTAGCAACGAAAATACCTTTCGTAAAAATTTCGAGCAATGAGCAGTTGAAATGCTATGCATGTGATCTATTGAATTCTATTTAATTTCTGCATTTTCGATTATCGTAGTATTGTGGAACGGGGTTTTTTTAAAATCACGCCCCCACAGTCTAAAGATTTGTAAGAATATCTTACAATGAAATATATGTGCCTCAATGACAATTTAATTATTTTTATATATCCAAAAATATTCACATTCAAAGAATCTTTGTAACTTTTATTTTTTAACATGCAATATTCCTTACAAGTTGAGTGTATAATTAAATGGGAAACTACTGTACATAGATTTTAGAAAATGTGCATGTAAGATTCATGCGATGAGACCGATTCAAAAGCACCAGCTTGAGCTTTTCCGTAAATTTATTTTGAATTCATATATTATTTAATTTTTACTTTTACATTAATTGTTTATAGCTCTTGCTTTTTCTTGCACAGTAATTTATACAACTCAAGAAGATATAGGTGTCCTAGGAAAATCTTTGGTTGGCAAACACCAGGAAAAAGCAAGCGCGGAAGACACAGGTGCCCCTGGAATGAAGTCGTACGAAGAAATACGGATGAAAGGTATTTAGAAGAGGACATGTCTTTCGATATGCTTAGAAGAAGGACTTGGGTAGGCAGCAGGCATGAATTAACAGAATTCATGTCACCAATTGTATGCATGTTAGCTAGTAATCCATAGGTCTTATTTACGTAAATCTTAAACAAATGCGATAATAGGTATATCGTGCTCACATTGCCGAAGGAAATCTATTTAGTGAAACAGGAAATCTTCTAAACATTTCAAAAAAATTCAAATAATTCATAAACCGTTCTGTTTAAATTATGGTAAGTTTACTACTAATTTGAAGTCCAAGGTAATTTTAAGTAGAACTGGAAGTCGTCTATCATGGAAAATATTTTAGCTAAAGTGAGCTCATAATATCCCAATAACAAGACCAGCTACAATCAGGTATCACGAGAAACTAACAGCATATAACCTTAGTCTTCCCAACAACTTTCAAAAGATTTAACGCCTCCACACTTATATCGCCAAATAAACCCCTAAAGAGCATCTAAAAAAGCGGTAGAGCACCTCGGTGTGACTCTACAGTCTACGGTGTGATTGAATTTGGCCCATTTTTAATTGGATTGTTACATGTGGTATATAAGTATGTTAACTGTGCAAAGTTTCAACCGAATTGGTTCAAGCCTTTGGCAGGGACAGAGAAGCGTGACACCACGGGGTCATTGGATTTGACCCATTTTTAATAGGCTTACTACATGTGGCATATATGTCAACTGTGCAAAGTTTGAACTGAATAGGTTCAAGCGTTTGGTAGAGACAGAGAGGCGTGAAAAAATTCAGGTTATTTAAACAAATGTTATTCCAGATTGTTAATACTGTACGTACTGTGACTGTGAATAGCTGGGTCGTTACAAAGTGATATTACCTTCATCTCTGCCGTTCCCCCCTTTTGCCTCCTTATGGTAATGTAATATATACAGTGTGTCCAATATAAGAAGGAAAAACAAGCAAGTCAAATGATATTTTAAAAAGTTGTAAATTCCGATCAGTTCCGAAAAAAACGAAATTAATCATATTCGGTTTTATTTTTTACCGGTCGTGTTTGAAAAGATATCAAAAAACAAATAACACTTCTTCATAGGAACTTTTTAAGCTGTACAAATGACGTCTTTGAGAAACAATCAACAACGATGTATGGCACAATAAGATTCTTTATCACCTATATCATTTAAACTAGGAACCATCAATGAATTATTTTGATATTTTGTCAACGCCTACTACAGTAAACTCGAGAGTAAAATGTTAAAAATGATTTATTATTTAGCTCGGAAAAATGGCTTATTACTAAATTTTTAACATTTTGGTTTAGCAGGCGTTGACAAAATGTCAAAATAATTTGTTCTTCTCAATGACATATTGTACCATACATAATTGTATTTATTCGTAATAAAAAATGCTACTCAATACATTATGTACTTTTTTCCGGTTCATATAAAAATATGAAGTTGATGATGGTTTCTCAAAACGAAACGTCGCAGCGAAAATCTTGTAAAATGGTGAGCTTAAAAAGTTACTTTCGGTTTTAGCATTGGAAATACTTATGTTTTGTATGGGTATGAATTTACCAGGTTTGCCGAGTAGACAAAGAGTGGTGTCGCGTCTAGTGTTGATTGTACCGTACTCGTGTATTACAAGCATGTTACGCCGTTTATTATTCAGAAAGTTTATTTTATTTTATTCCGTGTGAAGGGTTATTTATGACTTTATAGGTTATACCGTTATCATTCCCAATGTCCCCGATGGTTGCAAGGATTGCGAAATCTGTGAATTTTTTTTAATATCTTCGGAACTGATCGGAATTTCCGCATTTTTAAAACATCGTTTATTAAGCCCTAAAATGCGCAACTCTTTCTAATTTAACCGACTGTGTACTTCTTATGGTTTCCGATGTGTCTATGATGTTCATTCTTATTTTGGACACACTGTATTTTGTAATCTTTCCTCCATGTTTTAAAGAAGTGGAATTCTGGGATCAAAAATCTTTAAACCTTGGACTTAAGCAAATTTTCGGAGAAGGATCTCCCGGTCCTTGCGTTTTTGTTGGGGGGTATTTAATACCCCCACGCGCAGATGTAAGGGGGGGGGCGCAAACTTGAAGTGCCGCCAAGGGCGCGGTCATATCTAGTTACGGCCCTGGTTCACGGACGGACAGACGGACACCAACGACTCCCCTATAAAGCTTGCATCGCTTTTCTCTGCCGCATAATAATGTGGCGAGTAGCGTTACTCTGGGGTGGTCTCTACCAAAATGGATCAGTGTACACTATATGCTAATACACGATTTCAGTAAAGACGCGAATTTCCTACGTAAAACCAGATTTAACTATCCGCTTTAGACAATTCTAGTTTTACCTGGGAATTGTCTGATAGATCTAACGGATATTATTGAATATGACAGTAGTGCAAGACAACACGACAGGTGTCATTACACTATTACATTCAACGTGGGTATTTTGTTGTGACTGGGGACTATCCTGCAATTATTTTGTGTAGACAGGAAGCAGTAGATACTTAGTTTTTTCGCATATTATGATGTTTTTGTAAGTGAATTTTGATATGACTATTTTTACTGCAATAGAAAATTGGTTGTTAATTAAACTCATAAAAAAAAGGCAAACAATAATATTCTTCTTACTCAGCAGTGTCTCATCACGTATGTAATTTGTTAAAAAACATTATAAGGAAATGCGGTATTTTGTAACAAATTTAGTAAGCGTTGTTCAAGTTTGACAGTTTAGCATTTTGTACTAATCAATAATAGTACATTATATATCAAGGTAGAGAAGTCCACTATTATTGCCTGAGCACCAAGATTACATCTCGAGGCGCATGCGCCGAGGGGTGTAAGGTGCGAAGGCAATAATAGACTTCTCTACCGTGGTATATATACTATTTTTTTCACTACTAGCACTCGAAATCCTCTAAATTAACATATTATATTGATAAGAGAGTTAACGGTTGGACAGAATTGTTTGTTTCTTAATTTAACATGTCAATCAAGTACGTGGAAGTACAAGTCAAACAGGCCGTATTTTGTTCTGTCATTGAGATTTTTCAAAGAGTAATTTCGTTCGAATTTTTTCAAAATGTGATAATTTTAGGTATGTAATTTCTCTGGAAATTGCGAATGGTGGCAATTATTCGTTTTAGAGAACTTGTCTAAACGTTCATTGAGCGGGTTGTGTTTTCTAAAAGTGACAGCGTGACAGTTCGACTACTAGTTAATAATAAAAAATTATTAACCACTTTGAACAAATGCCGAGAAAGCCTACTTTACAAGTGGAAAAAAGGTTAATAATCATGTCATCAGACGCTAGTAGTGGACAGCGTATTCCGATGTTTGTTTCTTAACGTATTAACCACTTTGAACAAATAATTGAGAAAGCCTAACTTTTTAAAAAGAATTAAATAATCATGTCATGACGCTAGTAGTGAAAACAATTTAACGTAGAACCGGTGTTTCTTTAACGTAGTAAATGTACTTTATTTTACATAATTTATAATTGTTACAACTTTTGCAGCAATTTAAGAATGAAATTAGTGCTTATTGATCGAGTTTAACTTAAAACATCGAAACCAGAAATATTTTCTTAAAATGTTATATTAAAGGTAATACCAACCAGATTATAGGTAGTTTGTTGTTTTAATTGATCATTTGTTAACGTATTAACTCATGTCAATAATATTAAACAAAAAATCAGTCTTACATTTTTTCACAATACCCTGCATTTCCGGGTCTCTTCTTACATTGGCCAAAATTTGTTGCGTGAATAGATATAGTATAGTTCACTTGGTTGAATTTCTCCATTGTTTCCTATTTCATTTCATTAATCTAAAAGGAGAACTGTGTTATTACTTTGCACTCAATTGACACTTTTGAGAAAGTTACTTATACAATAGAGTGACCGATATTGGTGTTCATTTAGTTGAATTTCTTCATTCATTCTTATGGCATTCCATTAATCTAAACAGAAAATGGTGTGTAGGTACGTAGGTATCTTGCGCTTAAATGACATGTTTTAAAAAAATCCTTAGTTATCACAAAAGACTCACCAATATTCTTGTTCGCTTGGTTGAATTTCTCCAATGCTTCTTATGCCATTCCATTAATCTAATATCTAATAGAAAGAGAGAGCATTTATTTCAACCACGAATGTGGTGTAACTGTCACACAATAACAACGTATAAAAAACACAATAAAGTACAATAAATAATATAAATATATCTATAAAAAAGAAATGTAAATAGGTGTATATATTAAAATTTATTTATTTATTTTTTTTTTTTAAATATGACTAGCATTTTTTGATATTCGTAAAGAAATCATCCAGTGTGTATAGCACCATTGATTGAAGAATTTTTCTAATTTGGTTTTAAAAGGAGCCAACATTGTAATACATTTGACATGTGCCGGAAGGACATTATACAATTTCATCTCTCATCTAAACAGAGAAATTTATACAATTGCTGTTGCCAGTCCATTAATCTAAAAGTAGAAATTAGTATGATTTTACACTCAATTAACATTTTTTGAAAAAATTGGTAACAAATGACTCACCGAGATCCTCGTTGAGCTTGGTTAAATTTCTTCATAGCCTCTCATGCCGTTCCATTAATCTAAAAGAAGAAATCTGTATTACCTAACACTCAATTAACAGTATTTGAAAAAATCATTAATACAAAACAGTCCATTAACCTCAATTTAATTTAATTTTAATTTAACTAGAAATGGTTAAACCGATCCTATCTCAAAAAGGCAGTATGAATATTACTAAAAAAAGTAAGACCAATCCCAACGCAAGTCGCCAGAAAGGTTATTAAAAATAATAAGAACGGTCGTAACGTAAAAAGTCACTACATTTAGTAAGACCGATTGTATCGCAAAAAATCACCAAAAAAGATACAAGAAATAGTAAGGACAATTCTAACGCATAGACGCATAACCAAAAATATTGCTAAAAATCCTAACGCAAAAAGTTGCCGAAAAAGTTACTAATATAAACGCGCAATGTTTCGGGACATAGTGTTACAGGGCCGTAGCCAGGGGGGTGCCAAAGGGTGCCTGGCACCCTCTGACCGATCACGATCAGAATCGTAAAATAAAAATCTACAATAGTGCTATTTTTGTACATTGTAAATTAATTATCACAAATGTACAATATTATTGTTGTTCATAATTATCACAATAAAATTGAATAAAAATGATTATTCTTGATAATTATAATACCTACATACGTACTACATTTTGTAGTATGAGTACAATAATGGTTATTAGAATTATGCAATTTGATTCAAAAGTAACAAGCTTAAATAACCAGTTTCAGACATATCTGAAATCTGAAGTTATGGATTGGATAAAATTAGTTTTTTTTAAATATATTTTTTGCTTTTTTGACAAACAACTCTCTCGAGACTTCATTTTTGTAAACAATAAGTGTACCCTCCAACATTTCGTTTGCACCCTTACAATTTTCGTGCTAGCTACGGCCCTGTAGACTGTAGTGTTACCATGTAAGTCCACAAAATCAAATTGGATAGCCTACGCTGATCAATCGTGGGCTAACAACTAAAGTAAACAGCATACCTAACTTTCGGTTACTGGTAAGGTACCTACGCGAAAAAGTCTGCAAATCTCATGCTGTAATGGGCTAAGGATCAAAGCTTTTCCATTATGTAACGTCTATAAAAATATCCCGCCGAATTCTTGAGCAAAATACATGGAAATTAATTATATACAAGAGTTTATGTTTTAAATTAAGCCAGAATGAAAACCGTAAAATGTCATCTTACCAAAACACTTGAGAATAAGAGTATACTGAGCTATGCTCTCACGGTAATTAATTAATGGGTATACCAAAAACATTCCATTGAATTTCCTAACAAATCGTTTTTTAAGCTTACAAGCTATAATTAAACCAATTACATGATTAGGGATTATCCTCTCTCTGTCTTCAGTGCTCACACAAAATTTAAACTTTATACGTGACACTGTGTCGCACCCTTACAGTTAGTAGATTAATTAAGTAAGTCACTGTCGGTAAATGTTTCAGAAATCCGTGTATTTTTCGGTACTACATTAATAACGCTTATAATCCAGCCGCTGAGAAGTTTTAACGAGATTCTCAAGTTCCGAGAATACTTATAATTGAAAAGTGTACATTATGGTTTTTATATAGCTAACGAGTTCATAAATTTGTGGCAAAACTTCTAATTAACTTAAAGAAACCTACTGTTTTAAGTACCTTCATTGACGGAAATATTTCCTAATAAAAATAAACTCCAATTCAAGCTGTACGCGGCGATGTTCTGGTGAAGTTGTCGAATTACGAAAATTTAATTGGCTTTGGAGATATTATCATCGGCAGTTCGATGTTATTGGATCGCATGTTGAGGGCGAATAGATTGAGAGAGAAGTAACAAATTAAGGATAATTGTGTTTTACCAATTCTAAGTTGCAGTATTTTGCCGAAGAGATTAATCAGGTTAGGGAACGAATTTTGTATAGGTCCTACCACAATAACATATACCGTACATGAACATCTTAATATCGGATCTTTTCGTAAGAACAATGGTGAGTTTTTAAGGTGGTATCATGACTTAATGGTTGAAGCTTCGCTACCGGACAGTGGCGGACCGGCCAATTAACTTTTCGAATTTTAGAGCCGCATTCCTCAACGCGAACAAAGGATGGTCGCGTGATGAATTCTCCCGTTTAGCCCGGGGTTGTCATTTTTTTCAAAGAATTTCTGATACACTTGTGCTGCTATTGGTTTTTACTTTGGTTTATAATTTTCCTCCTTATATATAAAATTTCAAATGCCAGCCGCCTTTCGGTTACCCGCAGCTTAATGTGTTAGCAGGAACACTAGGCACTCCATCAAAGCAATTAACAAATAATTATGTAACATTGGAGGTATGTTCAGAGAAATTTATTTTAAGTAGATACTTGTTCTAATATACATTTCTGAATTGAATTCTGTATATTTCGATTTTTTATTTTGCAAAAGTATCTCCTTTCATCCCTTAGTATACTTCCAATCCACCAGTGGAGCTCAGTATTTCACCCATATAGCAATCTTTTCAAATAATTACATCACCAGCTTTTCTTTCCTTCATATTTGTTGCCTTGCTTAGAATACCATAACCATTCAGAAAAGCTTGTCCAATGAATCCCGATTAAAACAAACTAATTCCGGTAAGTTTTCCGATTTGTTTAAAATTCACGAATGAAGATGAATTATTATCGACGTTAGGTCAACATTAAGTATGTAAACTATCATCGACTATTAGTCCTTCGCGGTGGGCAAGCTTTGCATTAATGAGACTGTTGTTCCCATCGCATATCTGAAATGGAGATCGCATCAGCTGTCTCATTGCGAAGAAGAGAATTAATCCTTAACTACATATAAGCAGATCTAGCTAAACAGACAACTGATGCAAGAAGAGCTTATAATTATGTTACTTTTATGTAAATTAGAATTATTCAACTTCACAACGTAATTAAGGAATTAAATTCTCGATTTTATATACATAGGTACATAATAGCGAAATTGTTGCAATTCCCCTCTTTTTAATCGTTGCATCCCGACATTTTATCTTTAGGCCGTATTACAATTCCAACTAACTGGAAATATTGAGAAATTTATGATGGCATTAATTTTTCTTATCAAAAACGTAAACCGTAATTAATTTCTACTACCTTACGGCGAAATGATTTAGTGAATGCCGTAATAAAATACATCTACAGTTAATTTTCGAATTTTTATATTTGGTAAAGTATCAAATTTTATGTGGCTGATACCTAAAGTGGAGATGCTTAAAATGCAGATAAGTCTGAAATATTCGTCCAGCTCCAAATTCCCTCGCTGATACCATTAAATTTTAATCGTGTTTAGTGTGCTGTATTTGCGGCCTATAATGGAAGTACATAACACCTTCCATATCTGTTTGTGTGTATTAATATAACGAGGAATTCAAAAAAACGTTTAATTTTATTGAAATTAGTTTGATTGAAATAACTTTATCTGTAAGGATTTCGGCCGAAGAACTATAAAATTTGATGGTCTTAATGGATTGCTTGAGATATTTTTAATATCCAGTTTCGTTGGACATGCGGCCGATAGCGAGTTTATTTTTGCTTATCTATCAAGTATCTAGTGTTTCACTCAGAGTACGAATCCAAAATAAATTTTAAAAAACTACATGCAGTCAAAGTGAAAGTGAAAACATGATAACCTTTTAGTATTAGAAAATAGCGCAAGGCCTTTCTGCCTTTTTGTAGGTTTAATCTTTTAGCCGGTCCCTGTGGCGCAGTTCACTTGAATCTGCGGTACTAATGGTCCCTGGTTCGAATCCGGGTTCGGGCATGGATATTTGTAAATGTAAGTATAGTGGGTTGGGTTGGTAGAGCAGCCTTGGCTGAAACCCCGCCCACTCAAAAATAAAGGCAAAATAAATAAATAAATAATTTTATACCTTTTAAGGTTAGGACACATGTGTATCGCCAGTATACAGTATTGAAAAGTTCAGTGTCAGTTACATTTTTTTGGTATAATGACCTCACTTCAATATCTCTTTTATTTGGCGAAATACGAAGAATGTTTAGGATATAAAAGGAACCACAAATGTTTATTAAATTTCTAAAAGGCGATCGATTTCGGGTTTTCTATCTACCCATCATCAGGCCATGCGTCATTTGAATTATATATAAAGCAGCAACATTGATTAAAATTGGATAAAAGTGTTAAAAATTTACATTAATGAAGACGAAGGTACATCGGAATATCTTGACTAGGAGACCTCTTATATGGCAGCAAATATAACATTTATAAAATTTTAACAAAATTAATTTAATAAATTTTATATTTGCTGCCATATAAGAGGTCTCCTAGTCAAGATATTCTCGTGTACCTTCGTCTTCATTAATGTAAATTTTTAACACTTTTATCCAATTTTAATCAATGTTGCTGCTTTATATATAATTCAAATGACGCATGGCCTGATGATGGGTAGATAGAAAACCCGAAATCGATCGCCTTTTAGAAATTTAATAAACATTTGTGGTTCCTTTTATATCCTAAGAATTTACAACGAACCCAAAATAATGGAGAACTACATTACATATACGAAGAATGTGTCAAATATAATTTTATCTGTGACATTACGATCTTTCCGGTCACATATTGAAACTTCCAGTATCACTTCCGGTTTAACAGGTTTTTGATGCAAGTTTTGTTTATTAAATGCGAGATTTTACGGTATTTGAAAATATTAATCAATTTGCTGTACGACAACATAAAATATGCATATGCTTAATATGTATACAAAAAAATGCAGAAATGTGTGAATGAATTACTAGAAAACTTATGAAATCTAGAATACCGTGTGCTGTCAGGATCGCCGGGTCTGTTGTGTTACACCGGGAGATCGTAACGCGCAAAAATAAGATTGCTTTCACATTGGCGATTTTTAGCAGCGCGGCAAAACCAACCGGCTGGGAACGTCAAGTCAGTCAAGTGTCAATAGTGAAATGAATTCCAACGAAAAAACACTTATTTTTGCCCTACTGATAAGTTAAATTTTACAATTTAATTGGCAGTAATTTTTTTTAGAAGGCT